AATTGCCAAGATCTTTCAAGAATAAGTTGCTGATCCCCTCTCTCAAATATAAGAAAAGAGATATGTGTAACAATATCTTCAATTTAAACAGGCACTTTATCACAAAACATGTAAAAAGAAGTGACTTCTCCTGTTTGAACAACCATGATCACTTGTGGCTTATTTTCTATTGGCAGATTCAACATTTCAGCATACTTCTGAGATAACAAATTGATTTCTGAACCAGTATTGATCAATATCATTAATTCTTGTTGGGTTATAGTGACTAGTGCATATAATGAATGCATTTTATATGCTGTTTTGAATTTTAGCACCATGGGCTTTGATATAAGTTGACTGAAATTAATCTTTAGCTCAGGCTGAACTGATTTGGAGACTCCAATCTTTGCATGGCTTTTGCTAGTACTGTTATTCCAGCCTGATCTGAAGAATGCTTGATGAAACTTTGGTGATACATCTATAAGCTTCTTGACTGACAATTCAATTTTTTCATTGAGAATTTGACTCATTAATTTATTGACATCTGTTGAATCACAGATCTGAGAGAATAAGTGATTCTGTTATAGAATATCTTGATCTTTATTTCTCTGTAAACTTGTTCTGAATTTCAGGCTTCTTCTGATTAATCAGTTCAACATCTTCCATGACATTGTCATCAACACTAGTTTGATTATTCTGGTAAGTAATAAATTATTCAGTATACTGAGTATGGGGTGTTGCAATCTTAGCTTTTTGATTATTCTTAGCTTCTCCAACTGTTCCAATATTGACTGATGTTCTTTCTTTCAATGGTTCATATTTCTTATCCAAATCAGATTCTTCATCAGATATTAGATATGCAAGCTGTTTTGCTTGGACCTTCATACTAATTGAATTTGCAGGAGATGTCTCTTCTTGCTGATTAATCTTCTTTTTAGAGCTTGTTGACTTCAGAATAACCCATTCATCCTCTTCTATAGACTGTACAATATATATGTTCAGGATTTCAGGTTTAGGAGTGATAACTTAATAGTTTTGACTCTTAGAGCTCATGTGTAAGTTTCCTTTGTCATTAATATAACAGTATCTATTACTCATATCAGATTGGTATTCATAACACTGAGATTAATGATGTCCAGGTTTTCCACAGTAGAAGCATGAGAGATATGTTGAAATTTCTCTAGTTTGAGCTCCTTCTTGTCCATGAGCACTACTATAGTCTGTTATAGAAGAGTCATTTTGAGCCAAATAGGGGTTGACTGGTGGTTGAGTATTCTCTTGTACAGTTGTAGGATTAACAGTCATATTTATTGGATAATTTAGTATAGATTTTGGAGGTTCTTCTCTCTGCAGCATATAATACTGATTGGAATTCTCTTATATCTGATTTGATTGTACTCTCATGGCCAATGTCAAATTTGTGAACTTGTTGGTTATCTTTTCAATAGCAGCTTCAATATTGGTGCTGTCAGAGCTCTTGACTTTAGATTTCAATTTGAATTCTTCAGTCTTCACAAAACTAGCTGTTTTCTTTGAAGCTTTAACTGTAGAAAGCTTGTTAGCTAATTGATATTGCTCACCAAGCTTCTTTATTTTCTTTTATTTCATTTCATCTTCTTTAAAGATCTTCTTATTCTCTTTATACCAGTTGATTAAATCCATGGTCACCTGAACAATCTTTCTAAAATCAATAGACAATATATTGTCTGAAAGATTGAGCTTGGTCTTGTCAATAATCTTATTCTGAAGCTTCTCAGATAGCCCCTGAAGAAATCAAGATATCTTAGTGAATTCATCAAGCCTTCCATTTGCTTGAACTGTACTGGTGATAGTAGTGTATTCTTGAATATAGGCATGAATGTTGCCATCCCAAGCATGTGATTTCTTTGTAATTGCCCAGAGATAATTCTGATGGTGAATCTTGTAAGTAATATCTTGATCATGAAATTCATAAATAATCTCTTTAAAGAATACTTCCCAATTATCTTTTTTGTAATCTTTCAAGATCTTCATTCATTCTCCAATCCATGTAACACAGTACCTAGCCAACTATTCAATAATGTTTTTAGAGTTAATTACCCCATGATTCTTGCACATCTGATAAAATCTTTCAATAAACAGGGTAGCATCTCTACCATCAAACCAAGATGCATTTGCTGTATCAGGGAAAGATATAGAAATGTGGGAATAAATCACAATTCTCTTGTTCTCACTCTGTGATATAGTTGCATATAATTCTGTAGTACCTTCAGCCATAGTTGATTCTGATTCCAATTTCTTGATTTCTTGGTCTTTGGCCATGTCACACAGTATGTTCTGTCTATTAGTCAATATCTTCCAAAAACCTGTTTATTGGGCAAGCTCTAGATAAGAGGCATTCAAATTTATGCTCCCTAATCTTATTTCTAAATAAAAAACCTGATTAGTACTGTGTTCCTAGTTCATAAGATCTTATCTTGAAATAGTGTATTGCTTTATGTGTCTTAGAATTTGTTTTTCTCTTTCTTGACAGTCATCAAATTACTGCATCATCATCTTCAGGTCTTAGCTTGGTCACCAAATGAAGTGGGGTACAATGGAATGTCTTGTCAAAGTAGGTGAGTTGGTTGATATGGTGAGAGCATGAGAAAGGTGAAAAATCACAACATAGTAAGAGTATAGTTGAGTAGTAAGTATAGAGATAGATATGTTCTAATGGATGCTTAAGCTCATAAGAAGTAATGGTACTAAAAAGCCCTATACTAATACAGGCAGCTCTAATAAGGAACAGTAGCATGTTTCATGAACAAGAAATCTTCATATTCTCTAACTAATAACCAAACTGGTAGTAAGAAATGAGTGTGTAGAAAAGAGCCATGGTGCATGAAGATAATAAGCCAGATGCAGGGGCTACAGGTGGTTTATATAGCTTAAAGATAGTAGCTTTGGGGTGGTTTGTGCCTCAGACCAGAACAATCTTTGTTCTAATAAGGTACTGGAATCCCCACTACACTAAATATCTGTAAGCTTGTAGATGCTGTAAATTTGGCTTTTTTTTTCAAAAGAGCTTATATGATGATTTTCCATCTCCAGTCAGAGAGATTCTATTTATAATATAGCAAGCAGTTTACAAGACTAGATTTCAGACTTCTTGTAAAAGCTTTACTTCTATAATTATGACATACCTTATTTTTACTAAATAGTGTTAAGAGAACTGGTCATAGATCACATAGGTTTTCCCAGGATTAGAGGTACAAAAGAGCTAAGTGTATACAATACCTACAACTGATGGAAGAGAGTTATATGTAGAATGTAGGGATTCTCTAACTAGAAGACTGAATGCTGGGGTTTCTATGATTCATGCAAATTGTGTGATCCTTATATATTTAGAGTTGGGGTCATATGAATACCCCTGAATATCTGATGTTATCTGATGCTTGATTAGTTTAGATCTATGTTTATAACACTATCCCCCCCCCAGAGGCCTTGAACTCTGAGATATAGGGCCACTGAAGTGGTTTTTTGTATGTTGTTGTAGCTTCTCTATTATTAGTGGAGCAGTGTAGATTCTTGGATGTGCAAGCTTCTGCATTATTACTGCTTGTCTATATAGACATTCTGCATGCATATTACTGCTGGTTGCAATAGACATTCTTTGTTATAGAATGGTAATTATTTTATTATGAATGTTCAGTGTTTTATTATATACTTATTTCTTTGTTTATTTGCTTGTCTGATTGCTATATTATCTGTTGTCTGTTATTATATTGTCTATTAACAAGTCATGAAACTAGCAACTTTAGTGTGTTGTGATGTAAGTATAAATAAAGAGTTTCTGGCTCTCTTCTTTCTTCTTTTTCTTCTACTTTGTTTAAGCTCAGGTGTTGTTTCTTATTTGTTTTATAACTTATTATAATGTTATTGTTGAAAGATTCTGTTGTGTATAATAAAAAAAATACTCTTCTGTACTCTGTCTGTATTTACTTAATATTTATAAACTGTCTGAATAAAAGTAAGTCTTGTCTGTGGAATACTAAGAAGAAAACTTGTTCTTATTATTTAGAACATCAAACTCATATCTGTTGTAATATAAGTGTGTCTTTGTCCATTTCTCTTGTTGTTCTGACATGGCTGTAGGTTTCAGAATCCACTGTTGAACTAGTTCATCAGCTCTTGTAACTTTAAGAAGAATATTATAGTTTTAATATAGCTGATCTATGTTGTCTGTACAATGTAAAGTGCATGAGTGTACTCATGCAAGAGTTTTGTGGGCTTGACTCTGGAGCTTCTAAATGCTGTTGCCACCAGACTACTTCTTGTCTTGAAGAATCTTCTATAAAATACTGTTGTCCTGCATCATGTTGTGAAACTAAAACTGTGAACCTTGTGTCTGAAATAAAATCTATTAAAAATAATCTGTCTGAGCTTCTTTATTTAACAACCCCAGTTTGTACTGTTCTGTCTCAGGTAGTGTAGTGGGGATTCTGGTACCTCATTAGGACAAAGGTTGTTCCAGTCTGAGGCGCAAACCACCCTAAGCTACTATTCTTGAGCTATATAAACCACCTGTAGCCCCTGCATCTGGCTTATTACCTTCACACACCATTGCTCTTTTTTACACACTCATTCCTTACTACCAGTTTGGTTATTAGTTAGAGAATATGAAGATTTCTTGTTCATGAAACTTGCTACTGTTCCTCATTAGAGCTGCCTGTGTTAGTACAGGGCTCTTTAGTACTATTACTCCTTGCAAGCTTAGGTGTCTGTTAGGACATATCTATCTCTACACTTACTACTCGACCATACCCTTACTATGTGGTGATTTTTCACATAGCAGCAGGAGCGGTTTTTGGAATAGCGGGTTACACGAAATTGCGGAGATACCAATGTTACACTGCGTTCATTCTGTCAGGGTACATGTCGGCAAGTCTTCCTCTATCCGCTGAAGGGGTTGACAAAGAGATATTCATGCTGAACTAGACTGTAAATGTCTGCAGGGTTGGTTTTCATAGCACGTTGGGTCAATTCTGGCGAATAATGGATGAGTGGTGACTATCTATTCAACGCGGGAAGACGTGAGAAAGGCTCAGGGTAAAAATACAGGCGGAAGTGTGTCGAAAGTAGGAAAATATTGACTGATTATGCCGTGAAAAGCCCGCATAATTGCACGGCTGGCAATAATTTGCCACTACATCTCGATCTCAAACGTCCGCGAACCATGGGTGCTTCAGTGCTTGACGCGCCGTGATTCGTTTCGCAGGGTCTAGATTCATTAACCCCCGGATGAGATCCTTGAAAACTTCATCGCTAACATCCTGCCACTCTGAGAATGGCTTGTATGGAATGTAATCCTCAAAGCGGTCTTCCCAGAGCATACCAAGAATCTGACAATTCCTCTCGTCATCCCCTAAATGCTTCATGAGGCCGTTGAGCCCGTCCTTGTCTCCGAAGTAGGAAACCTGACGTTGCAGGCGGATCATGGAAGGAAGCGCACCCTGTGCTTCGTGTTTTTTGAAATCATCGTCAGGACCAAAAATGACCCGGCCCAGCTCGGAATAAATACACTACAAGCACTTGTCAGCGAAGGACACTACGTAAGAGTGAAGACACTTACCACAACGCCAAAGGAGAACATATCAGTCGGTTTGTTGAGTTCACCCCTGAAATGAGCTTCAGGGCTGCGCCAGTTGTCGTTGCCGGCAAGCATCCCCTTGATACATCTGCCTTTTGGGAGATAAGCCGCGTTTTCAAGGTCGGTAACCTGAACCTGTTTGACTATGGTTGCGTCACTGGACTCTCTATCCCCTCTATTACCAGCAGTGCGGCAGTTAACCATGATATTATCTGCCTTGATATCTAAATATGGTTACATAAGTCAGGTCGGGTTTACTGTAGATGTGGCATAGCCTACCTAGATGAACGACATCCTGTTCATGGAGCTCGGCTATTCCTCTTAGGCAGGCCTTGAGAACCTTCTTTCTCTCTCGCATGGCAATTTGCTTCCTGATCAGACTCAGAAAGTCATCCGTCAGGTACTTGTACACAAATATGCGCTGGTCCACGATGGTGTCTAATGGCAACCGTATGTAAGGGCTCTCGCGAAGTTTCGGCCGTATAATTTCGTTGAAGTTAGAGAATATGTTTGTGGGAATATCTTTCAAGATAACCTGGTCTTGCCCAGATCTGTAATGGTGTTAGCGGACGAGCCGTACATGACGCGTGAAGAGGGATTTCCAGCGTTGCCAGCCAAACGCGACCAATGTGAGGTCTCTCTTGAATCAACTCTTTAAACTGATAGCGGCACCCAGACATGCCAATCAGTTCATTGAGTGCAGATGCCATTTTGAGAGCATCCTTGCCCGGCATCCTGCAACGTTGTACTCTAGTTCTCAAGGTTGTGGAATCCTGTCAGAACTGTAGCAGGCCAACCAGTTACAAAGAAGGATGGCGAAAAAAGAACGAAAACACGGGACAGAGAAAGAAATTTATCTTGTCAAAATACAGAGAATGCACGGAGTAGGTGGCAGCTCAAAATTTCCTGGAGACGGCAGGAGATGCAATGTTGGCGTGGAGGAGTCTCAGAAGCTTGGCGGCGCGGTTAGAGAAACTGAGTGGCGGAGACTGCCGTGGCGGGCTCGGCTTCCGCAGACATCTCATTGGCGACCGCAGGAACCGATGGGTTTAAAAGTGGACCTACCAAGCATGCTCCCGAGCCCAGAGTCTTACGTCGACTCCAGGTACCCGGAGAGGATGCTGGGAAAGCGGCTCTACTCGTATATATCGTGACCGCGGTATATTCTCTGAAGGCCAATGAATTTCAAATTCAATCTCGAGCAAGGATGATATGACGACCTGCACCCCAAGATACCACATCGCTTTCTCTTCCAGCCAATCGCTTCCTGATCCTATTGGCAAAAATGTCGCGCTACGCCACTCGCATGAACCGCCCCCCAACAAGCAAACCGGAGTGTTATTTCGTGGATGTGGACAGGCGCGTAACTCGACATTCTTATGGGCAGAATGCGCGAGACACATATCCCGATCCCGGGATTGGTGTTGAACATCCTACGCCGCAGCGCTTACCACGGCGACGGCGTGATCCTCTTGATCTGGGGACAAAACATAAATAGAGCGGCCTCAGCCGTATTTCGAATGCCATCCTGCTACCAGATTCGAAAACACTTCACCTGATACAAGGTTCTATTTTTCTTGACTCAATATCCTAACCTTTGTGCAAACCTACCTCGAACCGCTCTATTCAAAGCGAAGCCAAAATGTACAGAACCAGCCAATTTAATAAGAAGAATCTTTTGGGGGCTGAGCTTAACTACCCAGTTCACAAGAAGAAGCTGTTAGTAATTAAACATGCTCTGAAGATATTTGATCAGTATATTTATAACAGAACACAGATAACTGTTAGATGGGGGGGGTTTAGTGTGGGTGATCACCCAGGTTGCTGCCTGGTTACTGCCAAGCCGCCAAATAACCTGTTTGGACCAGGGAGGGTGGGAGGTGGATTATATAATCAGTACAGAGTGATCAAGATCACCAACCTTTTCAGCTCCATCTCAATCTATTCTGTATTGTACAGGAGCTTCTGCTTCTGATGAATCTACATTAATTGATATACTCTCTGCAACACTAGACAGCATGGCCACTCTAACTCTGAACAGCCAGTCTGCTCTGATGGTGGAGATGGAGGCATGCATACAGCATGCACTTGATAGCACCCTGGATGCCTGATCAAAGAAGACCTGAATGCAGTATAAGTTGCATCAGAAGAAGTAGAGGGTAGATATCTGTATTATATATATTCTCTTGTTGATTCTTGCTCTTTTCTGCTCTGTTCTCATGCTGTATAATATATCTGTATTGGTCTGGCTGATACTCTCTGGCTTCTACTTGCTAGCATTTCTGCTGAACAAAAGACTTTCAGAATGAAGAGCTGGTGACAGAGCAGAAGCTGCTCTGATTCCTGTCTAAATATGTGGTTGACTGTCCAGCCAAAAGATTCTGTCATTTCTGTGACTGTATAAATAAGAATGGAGAGTCTGTTGTGCAAACTCTGGGCCAATCATTTATCAAGACCTACAAGACTGCAATTATTAATCTCTGGAGCTATTAATGAAGCTGTTGTACAAACCCTCATCTTTATCCAGTTAGTCAGGCTGTCTGGGCCCTGCTTGAAACTCATTCAAGACAGGAGCATGAATGCAAGAAGACAGAGTTTGTGGATTGTGGTGCAGGAACCCTGCTGAATAAATATCATAAGAAGAACATTGTATAGCTGGTTGAGTACTGCTGGCAGGGCTGATCAGAGTTTAAAAAAGATTAGTCAGTAGAGCCACATCTCTGTACTGCAGTGGACTTTCTAATGAGCTACAGCATGCTTCTCTGTGGTGAATCCTGCTGTATGGCACAGCTGGCTGATCTCTTCACCCTGGAGCTGATAAATAAAGACTCAATCTCTTGCTTTCCCATAATTTTGATTATGGGAAATGGCAAGACTAACCAGATGGGCTGGATTGAGTATGCTACAGTAATGTGCCATTACAATCTCTTGCTCTGCACCATGGCACAGACAGTCTTTTACCTCTTCTACTGATGGGATATTGTATGAGAGCCACCACCCTAGTTCCACAACTGCCAGAACTGATACCAGCTGCACCTGATCAAAAGAAATAATGTGAGAAAGTCTCTGTTATATGAGATCCAGCTGGACTGAATTTGATGTATTTACAGTGGAACAGAGCTTTCTGACCTGAAGAAGACCCATACTGAGCAAGCTGCTGGAGTCAGGCATGCAGAGTAGATTGAGGTTAGTAAGAGCCAGATCTGCTGTGCTGGAAGATGAAACAGTAATGCTCTCAGCCAGTACTATCTGACTAACATTCTCAGAAAGTTTGTATGAGCCATGGCTGACTTTAACTTCTGCACATCTGGGAACTTCTATCTGCTGTGGGCCAGAGTACCTGTGCCTGAGTCACTGGAGCATGCTGTCTGGCCCTGGGTTGATGACTAAATGCAGTGGTTTGAGTTGTATGATGTTCAGAACTCCAACTCCTGTTTCCAGAGGCCAGAGCTGAGAAGATTTTCAGATCAGAGTGATTCTTGGAATTAGTTCAGGGGATCTTCTGCTGTATAGCTGGATAGAGATGATCTGACTGCTCAAGAATTTCTATATCTGCTCCATTATCTCTGTACAGTTCTTCTACAGAACTCTGTCATTCTTCAGTCTTTCTTTTCTGATCACCCCCTGTGAACCAGCCCTGTGTTCATGAGGGAGAACTATTGTCAGTTTGCAGAGGCAGTCTGGATGGCCAACACTTACAAAGAGAAGCTGTATGAAATGCAGCTGCAGCAGACAGTACTTATGATGACAGATCAGCTGCATATTGTACAGCAGAATCTGAATGTGGCCTGTGGTCATTTACATACTGCTCTGAAAACAGAACTGCAAAAAATTAACAACTAGTTAGAAGCATTGATCAGTAAGCAGGTTTCTTTTCTTGTATGAGTATTTTCTGCTGATTAAAGAATGATGACAGCAGCTGCTGTCTTTAAAGATAAAGATAAAGAGAGAGACAGTGATTCTACAGTATCTAGAGAAGCACAAGCCCTAGTCTGTTTATTAGAGATAGCTCCAGCCTCTGCTAGTGTCTCTGTTCCAGCCATATACCAGCTTTCTTGTACAATCACTACAGTCTCAGATCTGTGGCAGAAATGGATAGTTGGTCTGGGGGGTGGCCCTTCAGTACAGAGTCTAGATGTCTTGTATGGAGCAAAATGGCAGCCAGGTGGCACAGAGAGAATGTTCTACAGCAGAAGAAAGATGATCATTAATTATATTAACAGACAGAGACAGAGGAGTGCCAGTGGCAGTGCTGCTGTAGAGAAACTAGATCTTGTATAGCAGTGTGGGAAGCTCAGTTTGAACAGACTATTCAGAATGCTGTGAGTGAAAAAGAAACTGCTCTGATTCTTATTATGGCAAACCCTGTCCATCATACCCAGCATGGCCTGTTGTATGATAGGAAGATAAAGAAGAAAAGATGCTGAATATATGATAGTGGTTTGCTTGGCTTCACCTCTTAGAGCTACTGGTCCTGAATACTGTGTAGAAATACAAATCATGTCCAGATGCTGTACACAGAGCCTGTATAACTAGACAAGAGTAGTTGAGAAAAATCATAAAGAAAAGAAAGAAAGCAGACAAGTCAGAAAAGAAAGTTCATGCATATCTAGTTTAAGATAATAAGATTGCTCTGAGAGTCATTCTCTGGCTTCTCAGGCTCCTTAATCTTGTATGGGAAGACTGATGGTGAATCTCCAGAGTGGAGTGGGAGGGAATTAGTTTCAATATGAATGGGATCATTTGCTGTCCCACTCTCAAGAAGAAGAATTGGGCAGACAGAAGACAGTCCCAGGCTGATTCTGCTGTCTGGTGTGTGTAAGTGGCCAGCAGCTCTGTACAAACTTGATTCTCTGTTATCATACCTCACTGCAGATTCTGGTCTGCTATGCAGAAAGTAGCAGAATGCATAGTCTGATTATTTGCAGTTCCTGCATGTGTCTTTAAAGTAACTGTATGCACAGTAGTATAATGAGAATGAGGCCATGAGCTTCATCTCTGTGCATTTGTTGCAGATACTGCTCCAGTGCAAAGTTCTTCTGTGTGACTGAATCAGAATTGTATTGATGTACAACTGGTAGTGTATGTTAATCTGGTAAAGAAAGATTTATCTGAGAACAAACTCCACATTTCTTTCTGATTAAGCAAGCAGTTGCTGTAACTGAGAGAAGTAAATATACAGGGCCAGCTGATTCTGTTCAACAAAGAGACAGAGTGATTGACTATCAGTTTGAGTCTGGGCAGCAGCTTCAGCAAGGTCCTGCTCTATCTGATCAGAGTGGAAGAGAGTCCATTGAATAAGTACTCTATATCAACAAGTCAGTGTCTTCTTCTTACATTTCATCAACACACAGGGCTGTACAGACATTTTCTTTCTCAGATTTGTGAGAGGGAGAGGGGGAAAAGACAAGTAGAGGTCTTAGCAGTAGAGAATGTTGTAGTAACATAAAATTATGAAATTGTTCTGTGAGTCAGTCAGCTTGCTATTATATAATTGATGGATAATAGCTGATGCATAATCTACAGAAAGACTTATGAGAGAAGCAAAGCAATAGTAATAATAAAGGCTCTGATGAACAGACTTAGAGTAAAAGAAAGAGAGAAGAGGAGAGAAGAGAAGAGAAGAGAAGAAAGAAAGAAAAAGAAAATCTGTTGTCAAGACAATGCTTAATCTACTGTTTACTGATTCTGATACTATCTGCTGTATGATGTATTGGTATGGTGTATATAAACAAACAGAGCATTGGGGCAGTATTATAGCTGCATCAAGTGCTGGTGCTAAGCAGCACTGCTACACACACACTCTGCCCTGTATGAGATAGAGAATAGTATAATCATACTATATAGACATCTAGCTATCTACAGAATCTATATTTGTCTGCTCTACAGGACCTTCTCTGAGATCCCCAGCTGCTGACCTGAGCTATTACAGATGATTGGTTGGTTGTCTGATGGGTGCACCCCAATACTGCTGTTCCAGTCATACAGTACTGTCTGAAAGATCTCTGTAATAAAGAACTCTCACTGGTCCAAATGACTGACTCAGCATCACTCTCTGTATCAGCTAGTATGCAACTGCCAAGATAACTGTACAACACCAACCCCCCAGAAAACCCAGTTATTTTTGCGGTCTTGCTGACTAACCCCCTGTCTAACCAGGTTACATGGTGCGCCTGGGTAGTAACCCGCCGCAACCTGCCACCCCGCTAACTAGTTGAGTCAAAGAGAGGCTTTACTCAGTGGACCCGGAAAGCAAGATGTTCGATGACGTTAGCAGATCACATGCACCACCTTGAAATTCCTGGCGGCGTGATGTGAGGGGCACTGTGGGAAGTCCAGCTTTTTTTTTTTTTTTTTTTTTTTTTTCAACAAAAAATCATCATGAGTGAGAACTGCTGCGGGTTTAATATATATTACTTCTAGCTTCCTTTAATTGCAAACCCTCTAGAGACAATTGCTTAATCCTCGAACAGATCTACTTTGGCAAGACATGGACTTGACTGCCGACATTACGGTTATCACGAAGCTCAAGTCAATAATATCATCCGCAGCGTCCGAGATACTCCCTAAGCTGAAAGATACTCAATATCATTGAACGCTTCATATACTGTACTCCCTATAACACCTCATTGCGCTAGCCTCATACATGAACTAGGAGGGGACAGATGAGCATCATGGTACATGCGAACGCGCGCACCTGTATCTAGAGTTGTACGCTGCATAGCTGCCTGAGGGCGGCTGGGACAGTCTATCACCCCCTAGTATTCTCGTCCTAGTATTCTCGTCCTAGCAGTCTCGTCCTAGCAGTCCTGTCCTAGTATTCTCGTCCTAGTATTCTCCCCCTAGCAGTCTCGTCCTAGTATTCTCATCCTAGCAGTCTCCTCCTAGTATTCTCGTCCTAGTATTCCCGGCAAGTGTCAGTGATCAGATCGTACCTCGTCATCGGGTGCCACATGATCACGACCCTGGGCTCCCTGTTGCTGGTCACATTGCCGCTGGACGCGACTGGCGCGCTGCTCTTTGCGCTGTATATCCTACCCGCGGTCGGCGGAGGGTATGCCGTGCTCATGGATCTCCAGATCGCGAATATCGCAGGCTACACGAAGCGCTCGATTGCGTCTTCGGGTCTGTATATCGGATACTGTCTCGGTAAGATTCATCATCAAATCCTTTTCATCCTGACAATGCGCATCTGCTAAATGCAATAACAGGGAACTTCGTCGGTCCGCTCATCTTCTTCGAGAGAGACGCACCCCGCTACGTCCCCGGGTTCGTCATCGTGGTCGTCACTTCTTTTGTAGCTCCTGCTTTGGTCCTCGTGTACCGGTTCGTCTGCATCTGGGATAACCGCAGACGAGACAAGGCTGGTATCGCAGAGCGATTCGAGAATGCGTACCAGGATGATTTCACTGACAAGACGGTAAGCAGCACTTTTCCAAGTTGCCCTCTTAAAAACTTTTGCTAACTCGCGATTTTTCATCTATTAGAACCCTCAATTCCGGTATATCTTGTAAATACCCTATCCGTGTGCCATAATAAATACCGGCGATATTGGGTGGTGTGATGATCAGGGGATGGATGACTGATGGGTGGTGGTATCGGGTGGGTTAATATTAACACTGGGCGATTTCGTTTCTTGGTAGTATGGAGTTGACGGACACTGGCGTCCTCATAGTCATTCCGTTCCTTCGTAGTATTTTGTTGTGTTTGGTCCTGGAGACGGACACTGGCGTCCTCATAGCTATTCCTGTCTTCTTGGTTGTATTTATTTATTTAATAGTATATCGCATATCGTATCGCAGACGGGAATGCGCAGGCTTGATGGAATGAGACGGAGTCTTCGTAACTGGTCATATATTTTCCCACAGAAATTGTAACTTCCCATCGAGGTAGACGAAGTGCTGCAACATTTTAGCAACGGCACTGTGGCCCATATTCAATATTGGCAGGGTATCACTGGAGCACCACCACTATTGGACAATTGATATCGAGGCTGCATTGAATCGCGGGGTCAGGGCCTCCAAATTGGGCAAGTTGCAGAGTTCATCGCAAGGCTTCAGCCTGATGGACGCTCGCACAAGGCCGTCATAAAAGCGAAGTTGGCTCCTCCTCCTCTTCCTTCACGGCAAGTAGCCGGGATATCTTTTCGAGTCAATAAAAACGATGTCATCCACGAGAGCCCTCCACGCAAATGACCTTCTCCTCCCTGTTACAGAAATCAGGGTAACCATGCATACTTTGGGGATTATTTTCGAGTCTGATACGCGCAGCGAAAACCATACATCCATATATCTCCTCACAGGACAGAGAAGTTCCGTGCAGCTCAACATGATCAAAGCTAATCCAACGGCCGTAATGGGCACTCTGGAACGGAAATTTTGCCTGTATGAGGTGTCGAATACCGCTCTCCACAACGTCGATCTGCGAGCCATGAGGGGCTGACTGTTGGAAAAATCATCGATCTCCTTGAGCAAAAGGGCAGAGACAAGTACCAATTGGCCCCTAGTGGAGTCGGATGCCGCTTCTGGGTGTAAGTCAACTCCACGCCACAGATGTACACAGGAAAAGTGTTTTCCTAATGAGTTGCATTAACTAACCCGCACCAGTAAGACGATGCTCGAAGATATGGAGGACGCTGGCTATATCGACCCGGCTAGCCCAACCAGAGTGAGCCAGGCCTACGAGGACATTGAGTATAATTACTCCAAAGGCTAAGCACGCGAATTGAGCCCGATAGTCCCAGGAGTATTCGTGTAGCGCGCTTGGGTTCCCACCGGTCACCGAAGCGAGAAGAGGAAACATCTGGATTGACGGGAGGATATTCACTCGTATTGGCGCATCAATTGCTAAACAGGTATTAGTCGTGTATACGAGATAAAGCCGTTAAGGAGTGGGGTGTTTTACTTACAACGCGCAACGCATGCTCGCAGCTCGAGCTCTCTTGATTAAAACCAAGTCTTTCTTCTCCTGGTCCGTCAACACAGTAGTCTCGTTCACAACTTGACGAAACATCTCAGAGTATTCATCAAAGTAAAACTCAATGGCGGCGACCTCGTAGATTCGCGGGAGAAAACCTGCAAAGGCCCAGTCCAGAAGACAAAGAGAGCCGTCTTCCATGAGGATGATATTGCGACGACACATGTCCAAATGACAGAGCACCAGAGGATATGATCTAAAGTCGACAGACTTGTTGATGACGGCAATCCGTCTGTTGACCCATGCATTGAGGTCTTCCACAGAACCAAATTCAGTCTCAGCGTCATGGTAGCCCCAGATATTGCCTCGAGGCACCCCACCACCCACAGGGCCAGGGACGTTTCTTCCTCGCACGCTATGGAGATGGCTGACGATGCCGGCAAGGCGTTCTGTCATGTCCTTGTAAACCTCAACATCAAGTTCATCTAATGTCTTGCCCGGGATGTACTCCATGAAAAGATAGCCAAAGAGCCACACTGGTTCAGAAGGATCCTGGCACTGGAAGTAACGATAAACCTGTGGCACGCGAACAATCTTGGGATCTAGATGCTGGTAGGCATATTGCTGTGTTGCTGTTTCGCCTGGGGTAGCAGTAGGGCCGAACTTAACGACGATACCCCCCGGAAGCCTGACAACAGGGGGAGTGTCCTTTTTGATGGGATTCTGCTTGCGATCTAAGTACTTGCAAAGACCAACAAGCCAGCGCTGGGGAGCGAAGCGGATGAAAAACCGGGCAAGTATGTGAACAACGCTCTCCATGGCAGGCGGAAGAGATTCATGTCCTTTGCGAAGAACAGGACTTAGAGCAGAGAAAAACTATAGCTGGAGAAAATCCGTGAAAGCTTGGTTATGTGGATCGTCTTTGATTTCTCTTGATGTTAGGCAGGAAAGGCACAAGTGGTTGGGCGCCTGCTGCTGACCAATCTGTGTTTTAGTGGCCCCAACCTAAGTAAACCAAAAATCTTCTTCTGGTCGTCTCCAGTGAAGTCGTGAAGAGGAGCTCTCGCTGCCAAAGCTCTTCACTGATTCTCATAGGAACTGGGCTCAAGTTACTGATCCCCGGACCTGATCCCCTCTCTATTTCCCCCATCATCCAACGCCTAACGCTCTCTCCTTCAATCTCCTCGATACTACCCCAGCACTTCATACTACATATCCTACCATCACCCAGTATATATACCTATATACATACCCTGGAGATGCCCTTTGTGGAAGCTTGGATGCGATCATGGGAGTATCCCTTGAAATAGGATAGTACAATTCTCCTAGTACTATGCTTTAAAACATAAAGACGTTGAAATGGTACTTGGCCTCCGATCCGCGTCGGTTAGGCTACGTACAGGCAGAATCCCTGTCGAACATGACATCTCTATACTCATTTTCCCTCAGATGTTACTACTTATATTATGTCATTTGCCCTGGGCGGGGAGGACGTCCAGAAGTATACCAACAACGTTGGGGTTCTAAATAATCTACAGGGGCACAAAGCCATCACATACCCAGCTACATACGACACCAGACACACCATGCAGCTATTGAATCAGATCGTTGGGTCTGCTCAAACCACTATAGCGAAATCCACAATTGGGAAGATTATACTGGCGTCAGGCCAGTGGATGAGGTGTCCTCATCAACTTGACTAGGCTCTAATCAAAACCCCAGAGACGTTCAGCCGTAATAAGCCGCCTCCATGATTGGATTTCAAGCTGGATTTTCTTTATTTGTTGAAACCGGCAATCTTGACGGAATGGCTATCCTTGGTTCCTCTCTTTGCCATGAGGAGCATCGAGGAACAAGTATCGACATAACGCCAGCCTTACCGTCGAAGTGGCACACGGGCCATCGTTGTCATTTCATTAATGACAAAACCATTTGATAGGTAAACTATATAATCTGCAAATGGTCACTATCAAGCCACATGATATCTGATAAGAACTTCAAGTTGGATCAAATCTTGGATTCCTTGGGGATAAAGGATGTAGCTCCAAACCGAACGCCAAAGGCCATGGTCAAGGCCTGGAACCGTTCTTGAAGGCAACCAACCCTGGCAGAAATAAATTCTTCGTCTCCTTCCTAAGAAATGTGACAGGGATCCTCAGCCACTCGGGGTGCTCAATCTACCGTGTTTACAGGACCAGGATGTATCGTTCGCCATGGAATTATTAGACTTCTCTTATCGACCAGAGAAGACAAGATGTACCTACTTTTGCTGGCCTGATGGCCTCTCAATTTATGTCTCACCCGGACATCTCGATCCATGAGGGATCAACCTAGAATATGGCATTCTACAAATATGTGTTCCAGAGCAATTCATATTTGCCCAACTTGGGTTCGATCACAAACATTTCCAGCCTGGCATCTTGCCTTTTTATGCTCTTGTTTGCCGTGTCGTCGTTGCTTCCCGAAGCTGAAAGACGCTTCAGGGGATGCTGGGTCCGTCATGGTGGGAAGAGATGTGATCCTTGCATCCGCGGGCGTGCAAACTGCGTTCTGGTAAGTCGAGATATTCGCATTTTATCCAAGAGGACATCGCGTTGGCAGTATATCCTTATCTAGGTCGACAAAACCGCCATGATGCGTCATGTGGTGTATCGAAGAAATCTGATACACTATGAAGGACTTCTAAGTACATCCCTCAGGCCTCGCAACCTAGAAGTACAGCGGAAGTGTCTCCTCATGGAGGTGCTTGCCCTCCATGGGGCCCAGGATTGGTCAGCTTGTCTAGTGATATTCAAATGCCCTTGCATTGGACATGTGCTTCACAGATTGAGGCTGCATTAAAAACAGAAATGATCATTCCATCTTCATTGAATTTCAACACAATCAACACAAGGAAAAAATAGGCAAAGAAACATGCTACTTCCACTGCAGCAAAACCAGAACAGACATGAGACTCTCAAAATCCATCTCTCTCAAGGACTGGGAAATGAGTACTCACAGCATGCGAGGTGTTTTCAGATATTGCTCCAAGCACAGCCCAAGGTTAAAAGAGGTTCATCAGATACGCCATTGTCTGGCTGCACGCCAATTCTCAAGTCACTGCAGCCCGACCATCGCTTCCAGATGACAACAAATATGATATAGCCTGGCAAGTCGTTAGCCAATATCCAGACGCCCACTACCAGACTAGGAAGAAGTATTTGCGCTGCATGGCTAGCTCGGAGAGCACATGATTCTTGCCTGTTCAGGGAAACAACTGATATAAAACCTGATCGGGGGCTAAATAGCTCAATGAGACTCCTCTACTCGGGAGGACATCCAAATTGGCGTACCTGGTTTGGAAAGATATGAAAAACACCGCAGAGATTAAAGTACAGGAGTCCGAGTTCAACAAAAACAAAAGGTACATCTTCCCTCTATAACCAGTTCCCAGGTAGTGACTAACTAGATGGTACTGCACAACATTTGCAAGATACATGCATGATCAATATTCAGCTACAAGGGCCAAAGCTATCTTTAGCCAAACAGAAATTGAAAAACTTCAATTTTATGCCCACGCGATTGCGGCCAACTGATGTACGTTGTCGATTGACTCCCAAGGGCAATAAAGAGATAGCCCAGGGCTAACATATGCAGGTTAGCCAGAGATGATGGTCCAATTCCCATAGAGCTAACTAGTGGCGAAAATCTTGTTTATTAAGCTCCGATGCAAAGGAGCTGCGTTGATGACAGTGAATGTGACGGTGGCAGTGATAGCAACAGCATCAGCAACACTAAGGCGAATTGACCTTGCTAGTGGCCCGAGGGTGGATGTTTCGCTGAGATACCCCTAACATTTGCTCAACGGCTAAGGTGACTATATCAAGACCTTGACAAGAAGCCAAGAACCTGCTGCTTGTTTTACTAACTGGTCCTGGCAAAACACTGATTCTGATCCTGATGGCCACGGCACTGCACAACAAGACAATTCTTGTAATTGTCCCGTTCATCGCTCTTCGCGCCGACATGGACAAACGATGCAAGGATGTTGGATTACAAGCATCATACTGGGAGAACGCGCGACCACCGCATATCTGTAACATCCTGTTTGCGACACCTGAAGCTGCGAAGACGGGCAATTTTCAGCACGACATTATCACACTCGTCCACAAGCAGCATGTTGCCCACGTGTTCGTTGATGAAGCCCATGTTTATCCACTTGACGGTACCTGGAGATCAACTATAAATGAAATTTGCTAGATATCCAACCTTGACTGCCCAAAGATCCTGCGAACAGGCGCTCTGCCACCAGAAGACAGGCTACCTCTGATGAACCATTTTGCTATGTCTGCTAGGGATATCAATGAGATTTGCAGCTGACAGGGTATGTCCAACATCTCCCACAGAGTGGAGAAATTCCCTGAATCAGCCCTGGATGATGCACTCATTTTCTACATTACTGGCAAGCTCATAGAATGCGGCTCGTTGGTGAAACTTGAAGATAGTAACTTTCAAATACTAAAGTTGTATAATCCCAAGGACAAGCGGATGTTACTGAAAGAATAGACAGAGTCAAAGGCATAATTACCTATGTTGCCTAAAGGGAATTGACAAAGCCCTGGACAAGTTTTTTGAGGAAGGACGCATTGAGAAAGTGCCCTTAGGGAAACCTCCACCACGTCTGGTAGTTGACCTCACTAAGCTCAAGAACAGATGACCATGGCAAGCATGGGGCTTGCCATCTCCTTCACACTACACCCATCAAACCGCGCCTTATCACTAATAACAGTGTTTTCCGGCGGTTCACAGATCTTTGCATACGTAGCAGGGTCTGAAGGGGGTGCGGCAGAGACTTGGTCCTCATCCCACAGCGAAATACACCAAGGCTTTTCCAGCGCCATATGGAAGACATCTTACATCCCTATACTGATCCCGCAGGGTCGGGGCCGACCTCGTAGTCTGGACGCACACCATCGCGGCCCTGCGGGAATGAAAATCATCCAATTACTCTATCGCCTCATCTTTGAACAAAACTAGATGACAATCGGGATAGCTCTCTTGCTTAAGTCAAGGGCTAGTCACTAGTGGAAGGAGGGGAGGAGCATTTTAGGTGTTCAGAGCAGCCCAGGATCATAACTGTTGGAACTATCTGTTTGATGTAATAATAAGCATGTTGTATTTGATCTTTTCTACAGAGTATACAGAGTACACAAAGATTACCCATAGGCAAAATCAGTAAGAGAAAGTGATGGAGGACTTGTATGCTTGTCATTTTCTAAGCTACTTAAAGGGGAATCTCGGCTAATCTATGTGGGTCACGTGAGCGAGGTGCTAGTTGGATTACCTAACACCCCCCCCATGCAACAAGCTCCAGCAGCAAGCAAGAGCCACAAAGATCCAAAGCTTCCAAATCTCTCAAATCTGTGATAAAAAATTAATTACAGAATCCAGATTTATTCCTTCTTTAGGCTTAGCTTCATTCACCACAATACTGTATTTTTGCTAGCTTTACTGATAAACCTCTATATTTTCTTGTATCAACTCATCACCCCTATCATACTCACAAATTGAGTGTAGAGATCCATTGCAAGAGCTTTTATAAGCCCATCAGCTTTATTCATATTGGTTTCAATGTGCTTGATTGAGATTTCATCTTTTTAAACCCAGTCTCTTAGCATATAGTGTCAAATCTCAATATGGCATGCTCTTCACATTATAGTGTCAGCTTTGGCTAAGTCAACTGCTCTCTTGTTGTCAATACTTAATTTCAAGCTTCTTAGCTTTGCTGAGTTTTCATTAATCATCCCAGCATCTATCAACAAATTGTTGATCTCAGCTAGTTCACAAGCAGCTTCACTAGCTGCTAAATACTTCACTTCAGTTATTGATTTCAAGATAGACATCTGGCATTGTGATCTCCACAATATTGGAGCTCTATTCATGGTAATAATGTAGCCACTGATGGATTTGTACACAGGATCAGCTCCAGTCCAGTCAGGATCCAAACTGACCACTGGTTTCAAGTCTTCAGAATCCATATCTCTTTTAAAGACTATTTCTTTTGATTTTGTGCTCTTGAGATAGTATAGAATCTGCTTGAATGCTGCCCAGCTTTCTTTATTAGGTCTGCTGTTGAATCTCACCAGATAATTGACTGCAAATGCAATATCCAGCCTCATACATGTAACTAGAAACTGTAGAGAGTTCAGGCCTTTCCTGTAATTTGTAGATGTAGTCTACTTGTTAACTCTATCTTTAAGAGTCTGATCTGGCACAAATTCAAGGCTTATTTCTTTTTTTATTGGTGTTTTAGAAGGTTTACAGTGGAGTGGAGTATGATGGGATGCCTTGTCAAAGTAGGTGAGTTGGTTGATATGATAAGAGTACAAGAAAGGTGAAAAATCACCACATAGTAAGAGTATGGTCAAGTAGTAAGTGTAGAGATAGATATGTTCTAACAGACACCTAAGCTTGCAAGAAGTAATAGTACTAAAGAGCCCTGTACTAACATAGACAGCTCTAATAAGAAACAGTAGCAAGTTTCATAAACAAGAAATCTTTATATTCTCTAACTAATAACCAAACTGGTAGTAAGGAACAAGTATATAGAAAAGAGCAATGGTGCATGAAGGTAATAAGCAAGATACAGAGACTACAGATAGTTTATATAGCTCAAGAATAGTAGCTTGAGATGGTTTGTACCTCAGACTGGAACAATCTTTGTTCTAATAAGATACCAGAATTTCCACTACATTTTCTTCTGATCTTCAATATTGGCATCCCCTGACAACAAGCAACATATAAAATAAAATAAAACTAATTTAGTAAAATAAGAGAATAATAAATAGTAATGAGCAGTCTGGTAAGAAAAAATATAGGAAATAAGAATAAGAAGAGTGATAGTAGTAATTATTAATAGTAATCATCATGATTCTCTTCTTCCACCAAGTTCTCAGAAGAAGAAGAAGACTGAACTGATGCTGGATTAATGTTGTTGTGCACACAATGCCAATAAAATTTATTACCAAAAGCTTTCTTTTCAATTTAGTAAGTCTTGATAATGGCATCCAGAGCAATTTGTGTGGTCTTTAGATGTCAGTTATTAATGAAGTCCTGAGCCTTTTTGTTATCAGAGTCAAAGAGAATATTGAGTTTCTTAATTACTATGGGGTTGTCCCATCTAATTCATCCTACCAGGGCATCTGATATAGCTCCTAAGCCTTGTAATTGAATAGTGGTAGGGAATTGATATGGAATCAATGCATAACAAGGGTTTGATGTGCTGACATAGCTGTGATTCTCTTACTGCAATACTTCAGAGCTTCTGATTAGCTGGGTGGATTGGCCAGCATGCTGGTGAATCCAAATGGCAGCTGTGATTGGCCAGTTTCCAATCCACATAATCTAATCAATATTGTACTATGTATAGAGGCTCCCAATACATTGCAGCTATATGGCATCAACATTCCACTTATTGGAACATTACTTGATAATCTTGATAACTATGGTTCTTCTAGTAGATCTCAGAGACTGCTTGCAGTAGGAGAGCTTCTAGCAATATTCTGAATTAAACATTAGAAGCTAGATGACTGTGAAAGAGTCAACAGCTATAAAAGACTATAATTTCCAATAGTAAGTTCTCATCAGTATAGAGCATCTCTTAAAGAAAGTTTACAAGCACAATCAACTTCTTTATCAGCTGTAATATAATCATCTGGCAATATAGCTAAGCTCCAGCAATGTCCAGCTTCTATAGTATCTAGTCTTCAGAGCACTGTACTGTTAATATTGTTGGTGAACTTATTCTAATTCTTATAGATATTTAGAGTATAGTAAAGCTTTTGTGTAGCCTACAGACTTTCTACTTTTGGCCATATAATATTAATTCTGTCTATTCTTCATGTAGCAACAAGTCTATTCTTAATCTTTTGCATATCAATGCAACATCATTCAATATTCAGAGTAATCTTTTAAGCATCATGGACATCAGCTTCAAAATTAGTGTGCATAATATATTGCCAAGCTCTGGATCTTTCAATATATCAATAGAAATGGGCCACTAAGTTAGTGACTATATCAGTCACTCACATAAGTGTGTTTATCAGTTCAACTTGTAGACTATATCAACAGTACAGAGCTTGATTATCAATGTATTCCATAGCTGCTGTTAGATTATTGAAGAAATAGCTATTCAAGTTGACTCCACTATCTCTGGTAATGACCAGACCTTGGTTTTCAGTTGCTGATGCTAAAGGAGGCAGGTTGCTTTATCTAGCTATTTTTGAAGAATATTAGAGATCAAAAAATTTGCAAATGTCAGAATAACAGAATAGAAGAAAATATTGAATCTGTAAAAAGAATCAAGCTTGAATATAAAAGAAAGTAAAAGCTCCAGCAAAGAAAAATTGATCTTTAAATATCTTCAGAAAAGGTAAATGCTAAGCAAATAACAAAGAAAGAGAAACTTCTCAAATAAGCAAGCAAAAAACTTCACTTTTGCAAACAAAACACAACAAATTAAACATCTTGTAGAGATATAATAACAGCAAAGCTCCAGTCATCTGATATAACAATTGAAAATTATATTTGCTCCATTTCTTCTTGATTATTTTTATTTTCACTCTGATTCAAGAAGCTAATATTCAAGAAACTACTAGAGAGAATGTTAGGTCAACTTCTGGTGGCATATCTTTAAGAGATATTCCCCATCTCTACATCAGAATCTGCTGAGCTATTATTAAATAACTTCATTTCAGATTTCATAAGATACTTCTTCAATCTGTTTTCTGCAATAGATTCTTTGAGTTCAGTGCCATCTAACTCTTCAAGATAATAGAAATCTAGTTCTTGATTAGCAGACTTAACTCTATAGAGTTCTAGCTATCAAAAGCACAGAGTGTTATTCCTAGATATATTCTGTTCTCTCTTGGTATTGTGAAGCAAGACAAGGTCTCCAGATAGAAGAGAGGTGGTTCAAATATTATAGATATTATCAAAGTATTTCTTATTTCTAGTATGTATTCAGAGCTGATGATGAGCTGCTTTCAGAATATTCTCATCTCATTTTTTAATTTGCCATGCTTACATCAGAAGCAGGTCTTCAGTTGTTCAAATCTTTTATCAGAAAATTATTTGTCAAGTAGAAATCTCAAGTTCAATCAGAAGAACTACCTTCTGGCCCATTAACAATCTATAAGAGGAAACACCAGTACTAGCCTTAGTTATCATTTAATTCACCATCAGAATCACAGAAAGATGTTTAATTCAATCTCTTTCAGTGCCATTGATAGCTTTAGCTAGCCCATCAGCTAAAGGCTTATGGCCAACTTCTATTATACCATTCACAGAAGAGTTATAGAGTGAAATAACAATGCATTTAATATTGAATTTCTTCAGTAAGATCTCCATAATATTCTTATTTTCTGGTCCTCCATCCATAACAAATTTGGCAGGCAGGCCCCATTAACAGATGATATTCTCATAAAGAAATTTGGCCACAGCTTCAGCTATTGTCTTTTTCAAGACTCTAGCTTCCATCTATTCAATAAAGTCACATCTGGCAACAA